TGTTTCAAAAGAGTTTCTAGAAAACACCAGAATAAAACCATTATTTTGACATTTTTTAGATTTTGTAATCACGTCCAGCAGACACAAATAACTATATCCTGAAGGTTTGGACTCGTTCTGATGTTTTGAATGAATTTGAGTGAATTGAGTGAATTGAGAATCTTTTTGATAATAGGCAAAAAGAGGCGGAAAACCGTGATTTTTGAGGAACTTGGTTTTCACTAGATTTTAAACCTTTTCTAAAGAACAATTATTGCCACGAGATTCAGCAAAGTCGAAACCTATGTTTCCGCGTTTTTTTGAGGTACATTGACTGAAATGAAGAGCAGTCCTAGGGTTCTCAGGAAAACCTCGTCTCCTGCGTAACTATTGTCGATGAAGCTCTCATTTGAATTCTGTTTTATAGAGGACACTTTCTTGGATCTATTCATGAGAGAAAGTGAATATATTTCTATGTGAAATTTCTCAGTTAGGAAATGGTTTTCCAGATCTTCTTGAAAACCAATTTTTAAAAAAAGTTTCTAAATATTTTTAGCGAGTGAAAACACGCTCTTAAGTCTTGGCTATCGAATAACGACACCCACGAGCCTCCATCTACTTTCACTCAACAGTTATTCAAAAGATAGCTCCCGGTCTTATAATTTGAAATGGATAATAGACATGCACCGGTAGGGACTGATGGCAATTCCGCAGTTTTTGAAAAAAAATTTCTAGAAGGTAAAATGACGTTGTTTAATTTTACAGCTGAGCCTTTTAATACAAACATTTCTCTACAAAATTAGGTATAATAGCATTTTCGGTTTTAAGTTAATACTCACTCATATCACAACTGTTTGCGAAACATACTGCGACCGATACTGGTACCGATACCGGTTAATACCGATTTATGGTTCCTGGCAGAGAAATAACTGTGCAGAAAGAAAAAAGATGAAGAGTTCTGTCATGTCTCATTGTGTAGAAAGATGCTTGTTCTACAAAACTGAATCGTCGAAAAACTTTGATAGTTTGTACTTTTCAGTCAAGATGATTGAAAGAAAGGAGAAAATATACCGATAAATACCAGGATATGCATAGTTTCAACCATTACGAAGTTCGAAATTACTCTATGTCTTTTAGCTGCGAGAATTTTCCTTAATTATTCTCTTTACGATCAACGAAAGTTATACCCTATGTAATAAATCGTACGCAGTTTCTTTAGTAATTAAAATCAAAAGCCTTCATTAATCACTCAGAATCTGGTAGTCAAGAAAATAGTACATCTTACTTGTTTTGTAGTCTTACCGATACGTCAACGTTTAATAAATTTCTATGAATTAGTCGAAGAAAAAATAAGAAAATTTAATCTATTTGAACCTTATCCACCACATCTTAATGAAGAGCGTCGATATTATGAATTATTATCAACACGTTTTTATATACTAATATTGATTTTATCACTAATTATTCTTGTTTTATATATATCAGTTATTGATCATACACAAACAGTTATAATTAAATCACCAACATTAAAACAATATACACTATTATATGAGCAACATTCATCAACATTATTATGTGGATGTACAAAAATATCTATTTTATATTCAAAATTTTTACAATTATTACCGGAACGTCATGAAATATGTACAAGTCAATATGTTACTGACGAATGGATACAATATATTCGTTTACATATATATTCAGATGATTTAAACCGCTTTACGGATGAGTTTCGCGGAACAGCAATTAATTTATTCCAAATGTTAACAACATTATGTGAATCTACAAATAGAACAATACAAAATAGTTTATCAATCTATTATTCAACCGAATATATTAACGATAAATTAATTAATCAACAATTATTTGAAGCAACTATTGATTCATCTATTCAATTATTTATATCATCAATCATAAATACATATACACATTCGTTACAATTAATACGTGATACAACACAATCAAATGGATTAGTAGCAAGTAATTTAATATTATATTATTATTATCAACAGCAAACTATTGTCGATCGATACAGGTTTAATTATTCTTACTATAATAATACAAATCAAACATGTTCATGTACAAATACAAATCAATGTGTTAAACAAATAGAATTATATAGTTATTTAGATCCAATTAATATTAATATGGTAGTAAATGGTTTGTATATGGGTTGCTATATACTTGAATCATTGTTACAATCAACATTAGAATGTTTTTATTCTCAACAATGCTTTAATCAATTGAATATAATATTAGAGCCAGATTATTATTTAGATACTCCAATTTCATTACTAAATTCATCGATACTGATTAATTTTCGGCCACAATCAACCATAGACGAACTTTTATCACAATTAATGGTCGACCAATGGACTTCATTAGTGTCATATGAAACTTATTTTAATGAATGCCAACCAAATCAATGTCAATATACATATACTGAAAAATTTGATATTTTTTATACAATAACAGCGATATTAGGTATCGTTGGAGGTTTGAAAACTGTTTTATCATTTCTAATACCAAATTTTATAATAAAACCAACTCTTTATCTACTACCACTGATTACAAACCGTTGTAGAAAACCGAAACTACGACAAACAAATCAAGTTCAACCCTTTGAAAATAATGCAGATAATGTAAGTTAAAACAAAATGAAACATACTTTTCTGTAGATGGAACAGTTTATACGAAACTTTTTCTTTTTCTTGTAGATTTTTCTTGACAATGAACCAGTAACTTCATTAAGAAAGTGAGATAAAAAAATTCTTATATTGAGACTTTAAACGGTCATTTTTTTGTTGCTTATTGGTGAAAAAATAGGAGAAGCTGGTGGAAAATGTTAATTGTTATTACTACTCTTAGTGCAATTACTGTTATTCTAATAATAGTTATATTGAAACAAAGTAATCGAAAAGCTATTTAGTTATCGTACAAAGTGTAATTAATCATAATTTTCTTTCAGCCACTTCTACAGCATCAGTACTAACACAATCAACAGTGACTTCTACTCGTAGAATACAAGCAACAACGAAAACAACAGATGACATTTTAACAACAACAATAACGAGTATCTTGCACTAAAATCTTTGAAACTTCTTGTTCAAGGCAGTTGTTTTATTTATGTCTATAGCCATTTTGTTCTTAAAGAGATGAGTGAGCTTAAGAAGTGGTGATATAGCTTATTTGCTAAAGAAAAATCTCCAATTTCCTGTTATTGTTTCGATTGTGATAGAGCTCAGACAAAAATAATTAATGAATTAGGAAATCAGATCAATTGCGGCCCATTCGAGTCAGAACTTGATCATTTGGTATCGTTTGTCACTGCGACTTCAATTTTACTGCGCTTTCTAGAAGCACAATAGGTTGTAGCGATCTGTGGGACCCATGACACTATGAGAACGTTTTACAAATTCTATCACATCATCAGATCTCATGGGTCCCATACTATAAGACCGACATATAATTTCGGAGCTGTTTGACGATTAAATGAGCTTTTTAAACCATCTACAAAGTCTAATAATGAAACTTGTAGAACTTGAAGCCTTTTACTTTTGTTATGGAGTCTTGGACTTGGAAAAGATGAATTAATCACCGACCTCTTGGAAAGACGAACTTTTGTCTTTCGGAGTATAAAAAGTTTTGCAACCTCTTTTCAGCAGTGAAGTCAATTGTCCTAAAAAATGTCACCATTTTGCCAACAAGCCTATTCTTACTGTGATATTTTGTGTTTTATGGCTCTCACGATATAGGATAGGATGGTCTGCTGTTGGTTCCTTGCTGAAGATTGTCAACTATCGCTCGTCAGAATAAATGATATAATATAAAACAATAAGATGCTGTTTTCGAGACGAAACAGAATCAGCAGCTATAGGATTCGGCAAGTACCAAGACTGAGTGCAACAATCGGTGAAGGTCAAAATGTTGAAATTTTAGTTAATAAGGTTGAGGGAGGACAAAAGCGAATATTTCCATCGTTAATCTCCATGAAAAGGAATTTTATCCTAATATTTTATGAAAACGTTGAACAAAATAAACCTTTTGACTATGTGCTAAACAAGAATTTAATTCTCTATTATTTTAAGGTCCCTTAACAACAACCAAATCAACTGGTAATTGTACTTCTTCCTTCTCTTATCAGCGTGATTGGAATCGAACTGGTCAGAGAGTTGCTGGTTCATCTCTTGGTACAATTGGTTCATCATTAAAATATCTTTCTGATCCGAGTGATATGACTATCGTTAATAAATTTGATTTATATATTAGTGACAGTGCAAATAATAGGATTGTTAAATGGAAGTTAAATAATTCATCATTAAATGAAGGTGAATTAGTAATTGGTAGAATTGATTGTTTAGCTGGAAATTCATCAACTGAATTAAACTATCCATATGGTATGACTTTTGATGAAATAAATCAACAATTATATGTAGCTGATTCATTCAATTATCGTGTACTACGATATAATTTAAATCAAACATCATTCCCTCTTAGTGGTACAACAATTATCGATCGATCGCAGCATATATTGAGCTCTGATGTTGGCAATTTTTATTATATATATTATGATCATATTAATAATGATTTATATTTATTAGAAACACAGAATGGTAGTGTATTATTATACAAAAATATAACAAGTGATAGTCATACACAATCACAATCACTATCAATAGCTATCGTAGGACAACAACAAAGTAAGTCTTGTATTTCAACAATCTAGCGGAAACAATGAAGAATGGATCACTTTTTAAAATAAATATAACTTATGTAAAATAATGATAAACGTAACTTACAACTTATTAGAGCTAAATCTAAAAAGTTTTATGCTTCTTTTAATCATGCAAGAATATAGTTTCTTGAGCTTCTAGTTTTAGAACTATGGATTTTAGAAAAGACTGGATATTCCCAAAAATCTCATGTTTGACCTCAGCCCTGTAGAGAGCTATGGGTCAAAATTTCTCCATGGAATACTGACACAGCCTTTCATAGTATCATCAAACGCTTCATTCACAAAGTTCTCAAATTAAGTTTTGTTAGATATGAAAATGCGTGCTTCTGTAGATGATAGCTCAGAAACCATCAATTTTTGACTGAAGGATTGACTCAAGAAGTATAACGTTCATCCGAATCTAAGCGAGTGATTCTGGTAATTTTTGTACAGTTCGACCTAAGCTAATGGGCTTGCATGGTTCTCCTAAATCAAACTTTTGGAAGCTTATGCCATTTTATTCCGTACACTTTACTCCACATATACTGCTAAGATCTCTTTTCTCTCTTATTTCCTTAATATACAGTAAGCAAAACACAATGTTTTTTGGTTCTTTTTCCCTTTTTTCTTGGTGGTTCCTGTACGTTCTTTTTGTCTTAATTAACATTTTACTTCTTTCACGGGAGGGGAACAAAAGCCTTTTTGCTTTTTGTACAGTACTTTATCTGCTCTGTCAATCTACACTCTTAGTTTCGCCTAGTCCTTGTTAGTTTCTGTGAAAACTTCGATGGAATTTGTGGCCCTCGAAAAGTTCAAAAATCGTGTCCCACCCACTTTTGAGCTTACTGCGCAGCCAATAAGCACTTTAAGTCAAATGTTTTTCCACGAAAACATTCACCAAAGTAGGCACTATAGATTGTTGGAAACCGCAACGTTAAGCTAGTAAGTTTAGTAGGTTAGTAGCTTTTCCCGTTTTTGCGTAATTGACATTTTACTGACGTCCAGTGGCTTGTGACATACAATTTGTCCCATCCTTTGGACTCTCTCCTACCCGAACTACATGAAATCAACAACTCAATAAAGGCATTACCATACATGTCAAATGAGTAGTACAAGTTATGCTGTAAATATCAAGGCTTCAGCTTATTTCTAAAGGAAGAAATTTGAAAAATACATCAAAATGTTCCACCTCTAACTTTTGTTCTATTCTCAAACATATTTCTAGAACTGTAATGGGTAGCATATATAGCCTCAAATTTTACGATTACACGTACTTTGACTCTCTGAATCGAATCGACGGCTCAGTTTTCTGAAGCCAGTTTAGCAAAGGATTTCTGTATGGGTTGGATGATGGGTTGGATTCGCGGCCTGAGATGGTTTACTAGTGTCCGCGAATTTGAAAACAGAAAGAACATCGAATTATAACACAAGATCATCCACCGATTTATCAAAGTGCTTATCGTGCCCCTGAACCCATTAAACAACAACAGAAAGAATTAACTGATGAAATGGAAAGAAATGGTCAAATTAGCCGATCTCACTCATCATGGGCATCCCCAGTGTTACTAGTGAAGAAGCATGATGGTAGTCCCAGATTTGTTGTTGACTATCGCAAATTGAATTCTATTACTATTCGAGACAGTTATCTACTCCCTCGTATGGATGATACTATTAATCAATTAGCCGGATCCAGATACTATTCAAAATTAGATTTAAAGAGCGGTTATCACCAGATCCCCATTGATTCTTGGGATAGGAATAAAACTGCTTTTATGATATCATATGGACTATTTGAATTCAATGTATTGCCACAGGGCTTAATCAACGGTCCACCTATTTTTCAACGAATTATGAATGAAGTATTAGGAAATTTATTGGGACATCATTGTTTAGTCTACCTTGATGATATTATTATTTATTCGGAAACTATTCGTGATCATATTAAAGATGTTCATGCTGTGTTGTATGCATTAAATAGTCATAATTTCAAAATTGAATACACCAAAATGTGCATTATTCCATGAACAAATTGAATATTTAGGTCATGAAATTAATCATCAAGGTTATAGTCCATTGAAGAACAACATCCAAGAAGTTATTGATATACCAGCACCAACAACATATGATGCAGCTCACCAATTTTATGGCATGGCTAACTATTATCGTTCATTTGTTAAAAATTTTGCTAAAGTTGCATATCCATTATTGAGATTTCAAGCAAAAAAAGGTGAATTTCCATTACCAAATGTTTCGTTCATTTTAGCAACAGACGCATCATCAAAACATGGTATTGGTGTAACATTGAAACAGAAAGTTGGCAAAAATGAACACGTAATTGTATATTTATCTCAAAATCTGAATAAAATTGAACGAAATTGGGGTGTTACAGAACAAGAATGTTGGGGCAATTGTTTGGGCAGTGAAGAAATTGCGAATTTACTTGTATGGCACAAAGTTTACTGTTATTACAGACCATCATCCTTTATACTGGCTCAACAAACACAAATCTGGAAA